TCTCAATAAAAAGTTCGTTAAGATGGACTTTATTCAACCTACTGATGCTCAAAGGTTAATAGACGGAGTGGGCATTGAAATATTCCGACACACCGATGTACCTCTTAATCTATTACTATCCTGTAAAGGATTTTATCAAGTTTCCCTTGACCCTCATTCACGTGCAACATGGGTTATATTCAAGTATGGCAAAGCTCAAGCTCTCTTTCACGCAGTACGTCTCGGTCCGAATTTTATAAACGTTCAGGTTGTAAAGTTGATATTAGCAAATGGTGGAATACTATCTAGGTATTTCGTTCAGAGATTGCTCATGCACTTCGGCAGATATGATAGCAAGCTTATCGAGCTCAAGATCCAGCATAACGTTGGACAAATTGACCCGGACCGTATTCGCAGTTTTCAAGAAAAAATCAAATCACCGTGGGCAAGTAACTTGCCAGTTTCAGTATTTACATATTTAATCACCGAGGCATCCAATCAATTACAAGTTAAAGAGATGGCTTCAAAGGGAAATGACATGGAGCTCTTTCATTTTTTGTCTGCTGGCCCTCACGTAATTAGCGAGGCCCCTGAGATTTTAGAAAAAAATAAAGAATTTATTGAAGAGTTGATTCTCAAAATGAAATTCATTCCATTTCCACCCCGTCCAAAGCCGAAAAGAAGTGATTCATACCATTCATCAGCAAAAGTACCGGAAGAATATCCGCCTAAAGATGGCTACGAGAACAGTCGGCAGCTGAATGTGATAGCGAGGGCGATTCTGATCTGCAAAGATTTGGTGATCCTATGGAAAAAAATCGGATATCATCAGATTTGTAATGACGTGAATGATTTGGTAATGCAAGGAGCCCTCTTGATTCTTTTCCCTCCCACACCTCCTTCCGATTACGTTCGCCCGGATGTAACGAAAGTCAATGAGAGACTCGAGGAGCTTATCACTCTTGGTTTCGAATTGAATTATACAGTCATCGGGGACATCATGCAGCTGTTTGAACATAGATTAGCGGATGTGGGTAACATTTTTATTGAATCTTTTATTAAAATCAAGAAGATCTCTGTCAAGGAACTTATCAAGAGAACTTTGATCGAGTCAATTAAACCAGAACGTAACCTGAAAAAATTTGAATTGTGGAGCTTCCTGAATGAAAATCTAGGGAGAATACATGATGATGAAATGATTGAC